GGAATTTAGAATCGATTTTAAAACTTGTGGCGTAGCGGGTATTAAATTAAAAAAAAAAAAACTCGCGGGGATTAAAAGGGGCAGGTATCGAATAATGAAAAAAATTGATAGCTTTTTGACTCCTCACTCCTAAATAATAAAATATTTAAATTGATCGTTAATGATTTTGATAAATTATTATTGTATCTGGAATTTTTTTCTTTTATAGTTCCAAGCACAGGATTCTTCAAGTCGGTCAATCATACAGCTCACTTCCCTCAAGTTTTGCTGTTTTTTTTTTAAAGCTTTTAAATAAAAAAAAAAAAAAATTTTAAAAATATTTCACGTTTTTGTTAACGTTTACCTTAAAAAAAATAAAAATAAAAATAAAAAATTATTTCACGATATGGCACGTTTAAATCCTTTACGAAATCCAAGATTTTTAGTATTATGCGGGGTATTTTCAGTGATATTATTTCTTTTCGTAATTTTACCGGAATTTCAAAATCATATCCCGCTACCAATAACGATAGATGATGTGGAACCAATTCAGTTAACTCCGGAGATATTGATAGATCCAACCTTTGGATATCATAATTATAGTGAATTTGTTCAAGGTCATTTACCAGTCATTATATCAATACCACATGGGGGTCATTTATTTCCCGACGAAATACCGGATCGGAAACAAAATTTTCCAAGCGTGGTAAAATCAAATGACCTTAACACTCAAGAAATCGGAAGGGCGATATCAAATTTAATCATGAAAAAATTTAAGGGAAGGAAACCTTACATGATTGTAAATCATTTAGGTAGAAGTAAACTTGATGTAAATCGACCATTGAAAGAGGGTGCTGAAGGAATTGTGATTGAACGTTCTCTTTCTGAAACTCAAATTGCTTGGAATGATTATCATACGTTCATGAACGATGCGGTTGAAGAAGTTGAAGAAAGGTTTGGTCGTGGACTTTTAATTGACATTCACGGTAAGACATCATGAAATGTTTTGATACCTTTTGAAAAATCGCAGCATTTGGTTAATTAAATTCTTTACGTTACAGGGCATGGGCATTCCGAAAATTATATTGAATTAGGTTACGTTTTATCCGCGGAGAAATTATCACTTCCAACTGACACGTTAAATTCGGATCCAACGATTCCAACCAGCTCAAGCATAAGAGCCCTTTATAATCGAAAGCAATCACATTTAAGTTTTGCCGAGTTATTACGCGGAAAAACCACCTCACTTGGCGGTAGATTACAATCCTATGGTTATGAAACCGTTCCATCCCATGTTCATAAGCATCCGTTGAAGACTGAAAAATATTTTCATGGTGGTTATAGTGTACAAAAATACGGCTCAAGGCATGGTGAACAAGTTGTAGATGCTATACAAATTGAGTGAGTATTTTGACGATTTCATTTTTAAGGTTTTTTTTTTTTTTTTTTTTTTTTTTGACAAAGAAAATATTTTTAACATCTTCTTAATTGTAGATTACCGAGATTACTGAGACTTGGAAATGAAGAACAAAAAGAACAATTTCTTTTAGATATTTCTGAAAGTATCTCTTGGTTTGTAAAAGAATATTATTGGAACGGGGGACAAGGTTCAAAACGCTTAACAATGGATATTGAGAAACCATAAAGTGTACATTTTTTTTTTATTCTTACCATATAAATTTCAAAAAAAACAATGACAAATTTAATTTTTAATTGTGGCATTAATCAAAATTATAATTGAATACATTAAATTGATAAGGTTTATTAAGTTTTTTTTTTTTTTTTTCGAGAAATATTTTCATCAAATCACATCACTTTTTTCTCATATAAAGTATTTAATTAAAAAATAGAATTATATACACCATGAAACATTTTATTTTTTTTTTTTTTGTTTTCATCGTTTTGTTACATCACATTTTTGTAAAACGTTTCATCGGAAAGGTGATAACGATGACGCATTATTAACCAAATATGTAGTCGATTATTCATTCTCATTGAAATAATCATGCACGTTTTTGTCCGACCCTATGTTAAAATAGGACTCAATTACATTTGCAATTTCCTATATATGGATATGATATTTGATTGCTAACCAGTGTCATTCAGGAGTAAGTGCATAAGTTCATTTAAGTCCAATGTAACATTTTTATAATGTTAATAAAGTCATCAACTCTCCGTGTACTACCATAGTACAAGAATAGTTATCCATTTTAAAGGTGATTTACTAAATTCAATTCATAATAATTAATTATGTGTGTAGATCATGTCTCATTTAGGAGCAAATAAAAAACTTTAGGAAATATTGAGATAATATACCAATGTTATAAAACAAAAATATTCCACTTTGTTTATGCTTAAAAATGTTCTAAAATCGTGTGGTATTCATTTTTTTAGTTTCAGAAATAAGTTAAAGGAAACGATCTTCAGATTCATCATGAGGCTTGATATCAAAACGGATAACGATATTATTAATGTGTTAAGTTCTTCTCAACCAGGCGCACGAAGAAACGGAATACCCACCCGTCATACTAAACAATCAAATAAAAAAGAAAACATAAAGATTCTTTTATATTTTACGTTCAATCGTGATTTAAAGTTTGCTTGATTACGTCACAGTAACATTCCTTTGTTAAAATTATTTTATTTATTTATTTATTTATTTTAGAAAATCTTCCAGTTCCGAATTGCGTGTGTAATAAAAATTTTTACGATGTTATGGCTTCCTGTGGAAATACTTGTGAAATTCCTGTTGAAGATCTAGAAAAATTTAAATCCGATTGTAACGCTTCAGAAAATGGAGGTGGAGGAGGGTATGTACTTTACAAGTAATGTTCAAAAAAAGATTTTCAAAGATTGTTTGCTCATGTTCATTCATTTATTTTTATTAAGAACAATCTCAAATTCAAATACAAATCTAAATCCCGATTCAAGTTCTAATTCCAATACAAACCTAAATTCCAATTCAAGTTCTAATTCCAATACAAACCTAAATCCCAGTACGAATTCAGAATCTACAAATAGATGTACATCAAGATCCAGATCAAGATCAAAATTTTCTTAAAACTTTAATACCTATTACACTAGGAGGATTGTTTGTAATAATTATATTTATTGCTATTTTAATAATGTTTGTAAAAAGAAGAAAGGAACAGCCTCAAACTCAACAAACACAACCTTCACTACAACCATCAACAAATATTATATACGTCGCTGATCCCCTTAAACCCACTCATCCCACTCATCCCACTAATCTTATCAATTCCACTAATCCTACTCATTCCACTAATCCTACTCAACCCACTGATTTCCCCCAACACTATAATCCTTGTAAATAGGTCAATTTTTAAAAAGCAAGTTATTTCTAATATACATCCGGTATGTGTTAGTTATATGTGTGTAGTAATGTAGGATTTTTTGAATCCAATTTGTCAATTAACGATTTCTATGCCAATTTTTATAAATAATTAAATAAAAAAAGTATTTGTTGCTCCACAAAAAAAAACACTTTTAAAAATGAATGCCCGAAATAGTAAACTTCCCGCAAGAGTTAACTGCGCCTCTTTCCTAAGAATAAAAAAAAAATAATGATAACAACCATCTTCAGTCGACGGGATTGATCATGACATGATATCTTTTATTACACAAAGCATTACATAAGGTGTAGCAAGGTAAGTGATTTTGTTATTTCATGTATCCTTCTTTTTTAGTAAAATTAATTATATCCGTTATAATAACTTAGGTTCATAATCAGTTGATAGCACAAAAGTTCCATTAAACAATGCATATTCATTGTGTATAAAAAAAACTAATAAAAAAATATATTGTTGAGTAATATTTATCGAAGCGTACATTTTTTAAGTTTTTTATAAACAATTCATATTAAGTTATCTTTCTAATAATACAAATTTAGCAGGTGAGGTAATAGGATTTTTTTTTTTTTATAACTCATTATTTAACCTATTTAACCAAATCGAATGATTTCTTAGTATTACAAAAATAATCATACAAATTCTCCATTTAAAAGTAGACAATCGAAAGACATTAATTAACTATATCTCATCGTCATAAAAACATCCCATATTTTATATGTAATTTATTATCATGATGATGAAAACTTTTCTTATTATTTATCTAATAATAATTTTTTATGTCGGGAAAGAGAAAAGCATTGTATTGGCACAAGATTATTTTCATGATTGTAAAAATCCTGACGCTAACTGTTATAAGCTAAATTGAATTTTTGAAACCTTATTTCAAAATTGAACTTTCAGAATCAATTTGGGGTAATAAATTGGGTTTAGGTAACGTATTTGCTGTATATATTTAAAAAAAAAATTTTTTCAAGTTGGTCTATTTCCTTTCTTCTATGTTTTTTTTTTTTTTTTTTTTTTTTTTTTCAGATTTCCAAGCTGCATGTGTAGTCAAGAATTTTATGGTTATCTGGTTTCTTGTGGAAAAAGTTTGTAATATTCCTTCACACTTTTTTTATATTAAGGAATACAAATTCAATCAAAATCTAAATCAAATTCAAATTCAAATTCAAATTCAAACTCAAATTCAAATTCTGATTCATATGTTAAAATTACAGGAATTTAAGGATTGATTATAAGAAATTATCTTATTATAAATTATTATTACTAATTTACAGAAGACTTTTCTTTTTTTTCAAATAGCCAATAAGAGCAGTAACAGCAATAATACCACGGATGACGTTATACCACCTATCAATTTTCTTTGATGCACCGGAATTGGTATTTACGTTTATCGTAATTGAAATGGCCGAATAGCTAGAAATTATTTTTTTTATCATTGTACAACATACACCACTGATCTTATTGGCTATTTGAAATTGAAAAGAAAAAGTTTTATGTAAATTAAGTAAACGGAATGATACATAGTAATAATTCGATAACCTGGGTCGGAACGACCCTTTCGGTGTATGTATTAAGCAGTGCTTTTATTAATATTTTTGATCCAATTTAAATTACTCTCATATAATGTGAATAACCATATACGAAAATTAATTTTTATAATTTAAAGAAAATAATTATGAAATTTTTTGTCTTTTATTTTACTTTTTATTATTTTATTTAAAAAGGGTTTGTGTTAGATATTTATGAAACGGTTCCGGAGTTTAAATTCCTTGCATGGGTGATTCCCACCAAAAATGGCGCGGTCCGTTTTTTTGTTATTTTTGTATTACCTAAATACAGTCAACAATAATTGATCTTTTTATTCCAAAAATTCATTTGTTGTTTCAGTCTCCGTATATTGATTTCAAAGTTCAATTGTTTGTATTGCACAAAAGATCTGTCCAATAAAATCAGTTCTCAAAATTAACCGACTAAAATTGGATAAATAGTCCTATTTCTTATAAATAATCCTCTTATAATTCTAAAACAAAAAAAAAAAACAAAATTACGTTCAAAAGATGGACAATATTTACGTCACATTCTATTAAAAAAAGTATATATATACTACCTATTTCATATTTTTTATCGGCTTTTTCAGTTGTCCATAATTACGAAATAATTTAGTTAAGCGGAAATTAATTATTAAAATTGTAATATATTAAAATGATGAAAACTTTTCTTATTATTTATTTAATAATAATTTTTTATGTTGGGAAAGAGAAAAGTGTCGCATTGGCACAAGGCTTTGATTTTATTCATAATTGTAACAATCCTGACGCTAGCTGCTATAAGCTAAATGTGCTTTTAAAACCTTGTTTTTACAAGATTGATTTTTCTAGTACAATTTATGGAAAAAAATTGGGTTTAGGTAGGTTTAGGTAGCGTAAATATACAGAATGTATACTTACAGTATATAGAAAATTTTATTTTCGAAAATTTTCGAGTTGATTTTTATCCTGACATGGGGTGCTAAATTCTAAGTTATTTATTTATTTATTTTTAGATACATGGCCATTTGCAAATTGCATGTGCAGTCAAGAATTTTACAATAATCTGGTTTCTTGTGGAAATGCTTGTAATATTCCTGTGGATGAGCCAATAAAATATGAATCCGATTGTGAAATTGGCAATCATCCAGTAAACATCAATGGTGGAGGAGGGTATGTATGTCCAAAAGGTTTTTTTCCAATTACATTTCTCATTACTCTTTCTTAAATTTTCATTTTTTTTTTATAAAGAAATTCAAACTCAAATCCGAAAAATTCAAATTCAAATCCAAATCCAAATCCAAATCCAAATTCAAATTCAAATTCAAACACAAACACCAATACAAATACCGTAAACGTTTATACAAATTCCGGTGTATCAATTTCATCATCAAAAATAATATTTGTATTAACGCTACTACTGCTACTAATTGTTATTTGAAAACAAGGTAAAGGGAAAAAAGCATTCCCTACTTGTAAATTTAGTATTGTTAACGTGAGAACTGGGAAGGGATGATTCGTAATAATTAACTTCTTTTTCATTATTATTGACTGTAATAGCTATCAGACTGCGCCATGATGATAATTACAGACCTAGCCTTTCTTTAATAATATATTTTGTTTATTTTATTTTATTTTCTTAATAATGAAAAAACATAATAGTATATTTCCTAAACACCATATAATTTTTCTGATTTTTAAACAGCAAGCAAGTTAAAGAAGTGATTATATCCTTAAAATTAACCGGTTAACGGTTAAATATTTGGTTAACCGACCGGATAACCGCAGTTAAAAATTTGTTATTGCTAACTTAAAAATGCAATAAAATATTATATTTATTTAAACTTCTTACGGAAAAAAGTGTCTTAAAAAGTAAATTACAAAGGCCAAAATTGAACATTGCAATGACAACAAATAACTAATTCCAGTAAACCATTATTTTTTTTTGCTCCACACTTTTTAGGTATAGTTTCATTTTATTTGACAATAAATTAAAAATTATGCACTTATCCATTTTAAGAAATTTGTACACAATTTAAGAAATAATTAACTGTTAAAATTAGCCGGCTAATTTAAAAGTATATTTTTTTAGAGCATACATACCAAAAATATAAAGTAATATTAGCGTTTGTTAAAATGTTGAGATTTTGGAATATCAGAAAAGCTTAAAAGAAAATGGCACGTTTTAAAAAAACCAAAGTTTGTGTAACCTTTGGAACGGTTGTGAAATCTCGGAATCATTGTATTTATTTCGTCAGTTGGCAACGGGAATATAATCTTATTGGAAAATTCATAAAGTTATATCGATCTTGAATGGATGCTAAATTTATTGTTCTTTATAAGGACTTTTTCCAATATGTCACTAAACTCTAAGTTTAAAAAACCTGAAACAACGAATTATTAATATAGAAAGAAGGAGATATTTAAAAAACTTCATTTAGTTTGAGATCTGTAATTTTATTTTACCTATTTTTAGCTTGACTTTGGCTAAGATCTGAAATTGGCAAAATGACATAATTGTTTGTTAACTTTTTAATTAAACTTTTTAAGGTAAAAAATTTCTCGGAATTGAACAATAATGATTATAAAATCAAGTTTCATTCAAGACATTTAATGTAGATCTCTATTTATAAATAAATTATAAAGGTCGTCCTCGTCATATTTTCCTGTATTCAAAAGGAAATTTCAAATAATATTATTATACCACCTCTTGCATATCTCGCCAGGAAAACTTGTCGTTCTAATATGTCAAATCTTGGAGACTAATTTATAATGATAATTTTATTATTTGTCGGTGAAATAACCATGTCGATGAAATGATAGTCGGTAATCCAAGTGTCGGTAAAATGTACCTGTCGGCCAAATGATTGTCGGTTAAATGGTTGTGTCGGTAAGTTGAATGCGACCCATAGTTTCGACAGTTGAGTATGAACTCCGAAAATATATACCTTCGATATGCAATTACATTAATGTCATGAAGGTTCCAAGGAGCGAACTTAATCTTCTGTACTGGAGAAATTGGATCATTGCATATTCTCAAATCTTGTGGTTTATAATCACGCTTCCAGTTTACGTTTTCCATCCACTTATGGCGATGATAGCATATGAAGTACCGAATGTTCGCCACCCAAGTACAGTGAGCGAGACAGAGAAATGGTTTTTCATTAACGGTGTGATGACAAATCAGGATTGGTTGGAACAGAACTGTAGATATTTGGAGGCACGTTCCAATAAAGCTTTACAGGAATTCTTACTACTAGTTTTGGAATATTATGTGATGTAATAGAAAACATCCACCAGAGAAGTTACAGTATTGATACCATATCAGTACGACAGGCTACTATTTCTATTCTCCCAACGCTTAGGGATGAAAGAGTTAAAATTGTTCATTTGATCGCACATTCTCAAGGATATACCATTGTGGTTTTGGTCATCAGGAGATTACGCTTGGAGTTGAGTTACACCGGAGATCAAGGTTGCCTGAGCAAACTTAGCGTGCATGCGTTCTCAGATTTATCTAGAGGATTTAGGAACCTCGGTAACCCGACCATCCAAGATCCAGCTATTATGAGAGGTATTATTAATGAAATTTCTTACGCTCGTTTTGGAGCTACGACCGTCAAAATTTCAAGGTTATACCCGGTTAGCAATTTATCATATAAGTAATATCCGGTAAATAAAATAAAATAAAGTTTTATTTTTAAAATTTAAACGCTTTTTATTATTATAATTTGAATAAAGATTTTATTGATAACATTAACACTAAACTATATTGCACTAGGTGCTGCCTCGTTTATATGAGATCTCGTTTTTTAAAATTTTTCAAGGTTAATTTTAAAATAAATAAATAAAAAGCTGTTAGAAACATCGCATGATTTAATTGTTTTGACCATTAAGGAAAAGGAATGATAAAGTGTACTAAATGAAAGTAAAATCTTTCATCGAAGAACCATTATGAGGAAGATATTTGAATTATGATTCTTGAAAATTTAATTATTAATTGAAATTTTGTAGATATTCCAAAATCTAAATACATGGAACACTCTTTTTTGACTTTTTATCATTACATGAAAGTTTTTATCAACTATATAATTGTAAAAGGTGTACAGTATAAGATTTATTATAATTTTGAAGGAATGTACTTTGAAAGTTTAAATCAACCAGTAAACCAACTTTGATTTTGTAAGGTTCATATGATACTTGAACAAATTCAAGTCTAGTCATTTTCTTTTATTTATTTGAAATTTACAAAATAATAATATAGATTATAGAGCAATTTACGTGGAAAATGTTATCTTCCAATTCAAAACATTTTTCGTTGATTGGTACCATTTCCTTAGTAATTTATATTATAAAAAAAAAAAGCAACGTAAGTATAGTAGAATGGTTAATTAAGTAAATTTAAACATCTTACGAAATATTATAGAGATTTTATTAACAAATATAAATATGTCGAAAAACTTGTACCATTTTGACATATCCTTATATGTAATTGTTTATTATTTTCTACTCTTTGAACTAAACAAACTCAATTTTTGACTATACTATGCAAAATAACTTTTTTGTCTTACGTAAATCTAGAAAGATTTGAACCTAAATCTGGAATAAAAAAAAATTTTTTTTATTCTTACTCAGAAATGAAAAGGTTCGATTGAACAAATTAGTTACTTACAATGATCAATTTAATTTTCATCATAACTACCACTCTATAATACTATTCTAGCACAGCCTTTGCCCAAGCGAAATCCGAAAGTCAAAATTTGAAATTATCCGATGGCGCAGGTTCCGATCCAAACGACCGATAATATTGAGTCATTCAAAAATTTTAAAATTTTTACAAATATCACTTTAATTTTGTTATAGCATAATTTAAATAAATGAGTAACATTTCTTTTCTGCAACATAATTTGAGTTCATTTAGAACGGCAAATAGTTTATACATGATTTTTATATTTAATTTTTTTATTTTCTTTCTATTATTAATATAAAAGATTTAATAATTCAAAATGAAGATTAAAATTTTTTAATTTCATATTTCGTTGCTGTATACCAACTAGAACACAAAATACTTTTCATATCAAGACTTACAAACTGTAAACTCCTAGCGACAGCCTCATGAAAATGGTATATGACACTTCGTACGATTTATCCTGATTAGATATTCAGGTTTTTTAATTTTTGTATTCAAATTAATTCTATAAAAAGTAATTTTTTGTAGTTATTTCACGGAATCCTTACACTTACAATGAAAACGCAATGGTCATTGATTTAAACGAAACAATTTATGGGTATTTTAATCATAATATATTATATAAATTATTAAACTTTCATCTTTATTATTAATCACTTTAATTTTTCTTGTAACACTACATACATTTAATGGTTACCCGACCGAGATAATATTATGCAAATTACAAGAGTGATTAGTTTTTAACGATATGAAATGTAATTGCCCGAAGCGAAAGCGGAGGACGTTTACGTTCTGTGCAAAAGGTCGAAATGTTGGTCGGTCACTATAGATGTTATCACCATGGCATTTGGGTTAAGGCGTAGCATTAGCATTAGGGTTAGGATGTGGCATTGTGGCATTAGGTTCATTAGGTTAGGGTTAGGGTTAGGGTTAGGGTTAGGAAGTTCGGAAGGAAAGGTTTTGTTAGGAAAACCGGCCGCAGGCCACGCAGCCAACGGCTGCGCAACATTTCCGATAAGTTTCGTGGAATTGGGGTTAGTTCGTAGCATTAAAGTAAACTACCTATAAATAATGATCAAAATAACGAAAAAATCTCTTATATTTTTTATTCATCGTGAAACTATTATATGTAACACTATACTAAATTAAATGTAAATGTAAACACTAAACTAAAATAAAAATGTCAAGCTCGAAAAAATTGTAACGTGACAGCGTGACGCTCGCTTCGGACGCACAACGGTCCCCGTTGACTAGTATACACATAAATATATTAATATATATTTACTTTAATTATTTACTTATTGGTTTTCTGGCTAAGAATAAGCATATATTGTACTATTATTTTTAATCCATATTTAAATCAAGAATTCGTTATCTTATGGTTACGCTAATTCCATGGGTTTCGAAGTCAATTCTATTTTTCCACGAGAAGGAATTTACGTCTTAATCTTGGAATACCCAGCTGTTCTCTATGACAATCCAAGATTTTAAATTTACTAGGATTAGTATCGACGTTTCTAATGAGTTGGTCAATTTTGTGTAGTGACAGGCGTTATGAATTGAATCGTTTAAACAAACAAATTATTTTAAAGTTTAATTTTATTTCATGTGGAACTGCGTATAATTTAAACAATTGCAATTTTAAACGAATTAATTCATCATTGAACAACCTTATGTAGGCTATTTATTAAGTGGAATGGGATTTGTTGATGGTCAATTAGTATTTGATGGTTATATTTTTAATGATAACGGTGAATTTTTAATTCTTGGCATCTTTCAAATATCGAGCCAAGGTTTAATTTTCTTAGCAAGTTTCTGAGAAATAATAATTATGTGCAAAGTTGGACTTTGATATAAATGAGATATTTAATCGAGGTAAGTGATATTATTAGAATTATTGTAAAGATTGATAAATTGTATAATTTAACTTTGAAATTTATAATATTTTAGATTATGGATATAATAATTTCCATATCGCTTCCACAACTCCGAGGCATTTGATAAAGAATTCCCTCAAAACAAATATTATAATGAAGTTGAATTATCAAACAAAATGATGGTAAAAATCATTTCGGGAATCGACAAACATATATGGGGGGTGGTCAGTTAGTTGAAAAGAGGGAAATCCACTTTTTAGTCAAAATTTTATTTATTGGCTCACTCTGCTGATCATGGTCATGTGAACAAAACTAGCTTAATAATTAAAATTACTCAAAATTTGTAGATTTCCCCTTTTCTATTGACCGCCTCCCATATATCTCATATTGAAGCTGGAGATTTAACTAATATCACAAGATTTAAATCCATTTTCAATCAGCCTAGTAGAAGATACTACGGTATGTTTCAATTGATAATGATTTTGCTAAAAGACAAGAGTCTCTCGATGGTGTAAAAGACTTTTTATGGTCATTTACTACAACACTTAAGTTTTATTTCCTCTATTTTCTAATTTAATTCATTAATTTTATCTAGTCTTGTATTTTATAATTTCGTTTACATAAGTATGGTACTTGCATTTATAATTACAAAAACGAGAGAATTTCTTGAATGGTCACGTGAGAATAGAAATTTGAAGAAATATTCACATTATTTGCAGGTTCTAAAATTGGAGCGTTAACAGTATTCGAATCAAAAGTAAGAATGGAGGATTAATATCTTTAATGCTAAATTTCTAAAGTAGCATTGAAGCGAATATATTGAGATTCTGGTTTAATGTCCCTCAATTTATTATTCAGGTAAATAATGCTAATAATAATATATTATTATTATTTACTTTTTTATTGATTTTATTAGATATTTATGTTTCGCATCAACGATATTTCTCTTTTTGCTTTAAAAATAAAAGTATAGAACTGATCAGATATTCTAAACTATCTGAGAGAAACACTTTTCTTAGACTAGTTCCCGCAAAGGTTCAAGATGTTTTCGAACTGAACAAATGGGCTTGTGTTATACTCAGCCAGTGAATAAGAGGTTTTAAATTGCATTAAAATATCAACGGACAAAATATAAGTACTCTATCTTGATAAATAATTTTAAAATTATCAGAAAATTGGGATGAAATTTCTTGAACTGCTAATTTGAATCTTTGTAAATGGGTGCGATACTTCAGAAGCGTGGATGTCTTTCCGAATTTTTTTAGGGACATAAACTCAAATTATTCACGATTCTTTTTATCGCTTTGATTAATTCAAAAAAATTCAAGCGAGAAAAAACTTTTACAATTAGAATTATAGAAATAATTTCACACCTTTTTAATCTTGTTTGCACGTAAATGATATTGTCAGTCGATTTCACTTATTGAAAAATAAGAAGGTTATTTTAAATTATACTATAGTTAAAGATTTTGAATATCTCTATGGATATTTTATCTCCTAACGCTAATGGACCCTTCACTATTCAAATTTATTAAAATAAAAGTTTGAGATTACTTAATTGTTAAAATTATTGGTTCAAAATATTGTATTTACAAAACGTTTTTGCTGTATTTATAAAGCAAGATTTATTTACTCTGGTTTCGTTTTTTTTTTAGACGATCAAATAGCACGTGTACAATACAAGATGATCGTATATAAAGTTCTGTAACAACATTTGTAACTTTTTCTACAGACACCGCAGTATATTCACACGCAAAAAAAACTTCAAACGTTTTTATTTAATATATGTAGATAATTTCTAATCATGTTTACTTCTTTTCTTTTTTCAAGCAGACTACTTGAATGAATTAATAACTAACAAACATAATTTTTTGGTATATAGGCACATATTTCATATTTAGAGTTGATATAGCAATAGAAATAGTATAGAAGGAACGCTAGATAGAGGTTAAATAAAGGTTAGATATATATAGCGATAGAAACATTTGCTTTAGAAAAATGAAAATTTCATTGATGACACTATATGATATAAAAAAAATAATATTACAGTATATAGAACGTCAGATTTGGAAATTGGTAAATTATACTCTCGAACTTTA